ATTATGCAAACAAACCAAAAGATGTGCACAGATAACGAGCTCGAGGGATCGGTGTGACTAAAACTTCTTTCAAATTTATTGATTTTCGGTAAGAGATGATGTTGGTGAAAGACACTGATCCAAAATTTAAATCCTATGATGTTATAATGCAAAATGTAAGTCAATACAATTAAAAAAAATCTGTATCCTGATTATTTATATTATATTTATTTTTTTTATTTTATATTTTTTTTATTTACATTGTTTCACAGTTTCTGTTCCTTGTGTTAATCATTACCCCACAATTACTAGTCCAATTTTTTTCCATCTGTCTGTGTGTGTCTACAGACTCCAGTACAAACAGCAAATATAATGATGTGCTGTATTATTTAATAGCGTAGAATAGCCCTTTATTATCACTGTACATGTACAACAAAATTGTGTTTTTTGTTTTTTTGTAGATTTATATAATATGTAAAATGTAACTGATGCCGTGTTCAGACATTAGTATCATGAGAAAACACACTGATCTTTTTTGCTTTTTGGTCATAAACAGGTGTATTGCTGGTGTATTCTTTTACTTTGAAAAGGATGTAAACTCACATTTCACGACAGATGGCACATGCTCTGAAGATACAAAAGCTACTTTAAAATAAGAAAGTAGCATAAAAGTATAAAAGATGTGGCTTCCTGTGTGGCTATCAGGGGAACTGCTGGAGCATCGAGTCTCCACCAAAACCCGAGTTGAAATTATCTTGGGGCATTTAAGACACCGTGAAAACCACCACACACACATACACAGCCCTCTGATTTTAATGGACACTGAGACATTGAGATAATTCTTGCCCTGCAAGCCCCTTTGCCCCCTGTTACCTCCCCTACACACACTCCGAGACACACACTCCCGCCGCATCATCACCAGCCTCTACCTATCCGTCTCTCCCTATCAGCTGCTCCCTGCTGCCGTTGTTTTGAGAGGTCAGAGCTGTTTGTTTGCTCGGAGGCCCATCGTCTGATAGCACGTCGGACTACGCCTCCCCCTCCTGCCTCATCTTAACCTTAGCTGTTATCAGCCGACTCCCCGGGCAACTCCAACCTTGTCTTTTAAAAGGAACACTTCCCCAGGAAATTATAGAGAGACCCGGGCAGATAGACTAGGTCTCTATCTCTTATGGTGGAAACCAGAGGACAACTCGGCAGCTTCGGGCTGATTCCAGTTTGTCCAGGTTCAAATCCGTCTCATGACCTCTGATTGTCATCTCAGGTTCTGCCCTCCAAGGAGTCACTGATTGAGCATAACTGGAGATTATCTGTAGCCTCGGTTTTTTATAGATAACTTAACAAGTAGCCTGTCCAGCCCTGCTGGTTGCTCGGGCAGACAGATTATTACAGCCCATACTTGGATTTCATTGTGACAGCATCCTCTATTTTCCACAGTGACTGGATAAGGAGGACCTGAGACCGATTTGTCAAGCCACAAAATTACAGTCATACTACACCAAAGTAATTAAGTAAACAATTAGAATAAATAAATTAATAGATAAAAATTAAATGACAGTAACAATTCCTGTTTTTTCTTGATTTGCTAGTGAAATGTTTGTTTGTTTAATGAGCTCACAATAAAAGTTTCTGTGACCTAAAAAAACTTACATGAAACTCATCTGAGCAATGAGCTACCAGGACCTTTTCTCCTGTAATTTCACACCTTTATTTCTTACAGTTTAAGTCCAAAAGAGTCCCATTTCTTTCATTTACTACAGCATGACTTCTTTATAATGTCAGCTGTTCAAATTGCATGAAGATATGTGAGGGAATAAATGTGTAGTTAAACTTCTCAGAGGATTTTCACTCGTCCGGCCCAAGTGCCAGTGCAACAAAAATATTTCAGTCTGTTCCCAATAAAAATGTAAAAATCCAGCAATTCCAGGAATTTTGTATAATATAAAAAAGACCAAATCCCAAAAAAACTTTGCAAAGCAAAAGATAATCATCAGCATGTGAGGGCCTGAAGGCATTTGGTTAAAATAGAAACCAGTGCATGCTAAAATAAAAGTAACTTTCTTTAGTTTTGTCAGACGTGTGCTCATTTATTCAATATTTCGTAACATAAACAATGACTCTCTGACATAAATCCCCTTCTGGGGCTCAGAAACCTCTCCCTCGCTACAGCGCCAAGTCATCTGGCTCGTCACTGGATGTGCAACCATCCGTGTGGCCTTAAGAGAAGAAGGGGAAAAAACTGTGATAAAATTACTCCCCCAACACTGGATCAAACCCTGCAGAAAGGGGAGCAGCAGCCACCTGATTAGGGAACACCGAGGAAATGAGAGAAGCAAAGAGGTCCATTCTCTTCAGGAGTGGGAGGGAAAAACTTGGACGAAAGAATGGGAGGGGATGAACAGAGGGGAGTTGTAAGTGGGATAAGTTGTCTACATGTGTGTGTGTAGGGGGAAGTATAGGGTGTGTGGGGTTAAAGTCACAGATTTTAAATCAGTTCTTTGGCCTTTAACGGGCGCAACAGAAGCCCAGTATGAGAGAGCAGAACAAAGAGGGCAGCACTGCCCTCGACCAATTAACATTCCTGCAGCCTTTATGAGCCGCCTGGACCCGCCCCTTCACTCACACCTCATAAAAGTCACAAACATCAATTCTTGCAAACCATAACTGTCATTATAATCCCATTAAAAACAAACCACTGAGCAATTTACAGTGAACACCAGGGCCACGTTTGCCAGGAGTGGGGAAGGATTGTCCCTGCTGGAACACAAATGGGACTAAACAAGTGGGAAAGTTTATTGGGAGTAATTTGACAAAATATGACATGATAGACTCCACAACTGAAGCAAAAGGGGCTAAAGCGCTATTTCTTCATCCTCCTTTGAACGTAATTGGTCTTGGCAAACACCGAGGTGACCATGCAGTGCAGATGTCACAAGTTTAAAGCTGAATCAATCAATTTGGACACGTTTAGAGCAGAAAAAGACCAAAACAAGCTGCTAAATACAAGCTAAAATGCCCTTGTGATGCATTTTAG